CCCCAAAACCCCAAAACCCCAAAACCCCAAAACCCCAGTTGATGAAAAATGGACCAGAATAATGCAAAGAATAATTGACATTAAAATATGCTTCTTATTTATCATTTTAAGTTTAATCATTGAAATTGTATTTTATAAATCAAAATTATTATGAAGAAAGGAGGAAATTAAATACCTTAGAATTCAGGTGCAGTTGGAGGAGTTTCATCACTACTGACCAATCAGATGTAAATGCAGTAGAATAACTCCATATAAAATATGAATGAAGGTGTTGGCTTAGGGCACATGGCTAAGAGATCCTTTACTCACTAGCAAAGTAGGATTTTCAAATAATAAATTCTTGTATTTACGTTTTTAGATTCTTTAAATATGGACCCAAAAGAACAAACTAGAAAATCACTTGATGTCAAGTATAATAATATGAGTTAGAATAAGGACAAATATATTCAGAAGGGGTACTTTATGTAGCAAAACAATGCGATGCAGCAGTAGAGAGCTTCTCCAGACTTTACAATAGGGAATGTAAACCCTACTTTACAAAATAAGCCAAGCCATTAAAAGTTTGCTAATCAAAATCTCTAAGGTAAAAAACTCTGCATATTCATTCGTATATTAATCTTCTGATAGTCTAGCATAAACGATAGCTCAGCACCAAGCAGTAAGCACCAATTTCAAAGTTCTAAAATGGTTTGAATTAAAGCTAAATGGACAATATGATGATGTTTTACCCAAATAACTTAAGTAATAAGAATAAGCTGACCTTGGAGAATTAGCAGTTAATCAGTGAATAAAACTTCTAACAAATTCCTTAAAACAAGAAATATGATTCAAGACATAGTATTTAAATCTAAAGTAAGTATAGCTCGTCTGGAGCACCCAGCTATACAACAAACTCTCAAGAAAAAATGCAGTTTGCCATGGGCTAAACTCCCACAGATTTTAATTCTGAGGGAATGGGTAGTGGCCTTATTTAAATGCAGAACTTTAAAATTTAAGGCTAGGTCAAGCCTAACAAATAAAACGCAGGCGGGCCTTATCAGAAATTTCCATAAACCTAGAATCACTCTCCCAATGTGACCAGAAGGTAGCCTTCTATTAATAACAATATCAAATAAAAGAAAAAGATTTAATATTTATATGGAGCTGAAATCGGTTTCACAAATGAGTAAAAATAGAATATTAAAAACAAATTTGTAAACTAAAGCATTGAGCTATAGAATTATAACAAAAACAGCAGCATCAATATTGGCAATGGCTCCATGTCGACTAGATTCTAGGAGTAGAACCAAATTTATTAATCAATCATTAACCCATAAGCAAGTATAATTCAAGAGGCCTCAAGTGTGCAGAATATGAGATTAGGAACAGCTCAGTAAAGATTCCTGCAAAATTAAAACAATTAATCTAAGACACCAGATATTACTAGTCCCAATAAATCTATTGATTTTACTTAGGTCAGGTAGCAACCTTAGCTTGTATAACACAATTACCTCCTTCCAAGTCAAAGTCAAACAAATAATAATCCTTATTAATTACAAAGCAACTAGATAAAACTACAAATGACTAAACAACAGCAGATTTTCAATGAAAAGCAGCAATAGTTTATGAATTAGCATAGAAAAAACAAGTCCCTCATTTAGAACTATTCTAACCAGCAGGTGTAAAACAGCTATCAGCAAATGAACAATAACTTCTTAGATTAGAACATATCAATGATAGAATAATAGAATTAAAATAAGAATACTTAGAAACAACAAAGGGCATTAATAGAAGTAAATAACTAGAACTAACAAGTAGCAGCTGCTACTAGATATTCACAATCTATGAGACCCAATGGAATTTACACGCCAGACATTACTAAATACATGTAGAAGATTAAGTAATAGAATCAGAGTATTGCCAATAACTATGAGGATTAAGTCCAGTATGTGTAAAATCATTAGCAAATGATGATGAGAAGAAAGCAAGGAAGCAAGACACCAGTTGAATTCGATTCTATTACTCAGAACTCAATGATTTTAGATGGTGGAACAGGGAGTGAAGGAGGTAATAGTAAAAAGTATGCTAGCTAAAATGTATCTATCCAACTAAGTCAAAATAACAGCAATCATGGCAATCAGCTTATGAACTAAAACTCAATGAGCAACCAGACATCTTTACTCAACCAATCTGACACTTAGAATAAAAGTTCATCAACTAAAATATCTCTTGGCAGTTTGCAGAAGTCAAAGGATAGACTACAAAAGATATAATAACAATAGCAAAAGCTTAAATAGCAACTCCAAGGGCCTAAGAACAAATCAGTCTAGAGATATCAGCCAGATCCAAATTCAATAGTTACTGATGAAGATGATGCCTTGAACCAGTTTAATATATAAGACATTAAGATTTAGCCTATCCAGAAAAGCAAAGAGTACTTAGTGGCATCAGGGAATTAACAACAAGTCAAGATAAAGCAAAAGACTACAGCTCCAGTTTTACCGCCTGTGAACAAGCGACTTCTAAATATCACAGAAGAGGCATTAGCGATTGGAAAAGTTCCACCTGAGGATGTTGCAAGATTATTGTCCAAATCAGTTATTAAGTCAGAGAAAGATTTAGATTAGTTCTCCCCCAGAACTAAAGAAATGGCTTTAATCTCAGCTATTGTCAAGGAATCTTTCTAAAAAGCCAAGGAAGCCCCAGTTACTACCACTGATTTCTACAGAGCGGGTAAAATGCTTGGAAAGGGAGCCTTTGGAAAAGTATCGCTTGGCATGCACAAGCTATCAAGAAAGCTGGTTGCAATTAAGTCTATTAACAAAGAATATCTCAGTGAAGAAAAGTAAAAGAACAAGGTGATGCATGAAGTAGGAATATTGCTCAGAATGAGACATCCTAGTGTAGTCAAGTTGTATGAAACTTTCGAAACTGGGAGACATATATTACTAGTGATGGAGCTCTGTGCTGGAGGAGATCTACTTAACTATGTTAGGAAGAGAAGAAAGCTCAAGGAAGACTCTGCTAAACTCATATTCAGATAAGTAAGAAAAATACTTTAATTTTTATCAATTATTATAGATTATTGAAGGCTTGGGGTATATTCATTCTAAGAACATTCTTCATAGAGACATTAAATTAGACAATATTTTATTAGATGGCAAAGGAAAAGTAAAGATTGCTGATTTTGGAGTAAGCAAACTGGTGAAGCCTGGAGAGACAATGAGAGAGCAGTGTGGTACACCTGCCTACATTGCTCCAGAAATTATTAGAGATAAAGGCTATCAAGGATTTAAGGCTGATATTTGGAGTGCTGGAGTTGTCCTATATGCTATGCTCTATGGAACAGTGCCCTTCAAGGCGAATAACATGCAAGACCTTCACAAGCTAATTCTTAAAGCCAAGTACAATCTTAAAGATGAGATCTCTGAGGAGGCAAAGGATCTCTTAAGAAAAATGCTTGAGCTTGATGTTTCCCAAAGACTCACCATTAAACAGGTGTTGTCGCATCCTTGGATGCAAGATATAGATGAAAATCTGATAATGTTTAATGAGTAAGAACTGGAGGTAGTGAAGACAGAATTCACATATAATGACCCATCAAGATTCAATAGAAATGAGCCCAATCTTAACAAGGACGAAGAACCTTGGGACTGCTTCACTGAACTCAATCTAGACTCAATGAACTGTACGTTGAGAAATGCAAGCGAAAAATCTGTAATACTAGCGCCATTTAATAGTAGTATGAGTGATGATGGGGAGTTCCAAAGAACTTTTAAAAAGCATGCACCGCTAGTTGATAAGAAGCTTATGATTAGATTCGCGGCTAGATGCAGAGACTAAGATCGGCAATATGAGATTAATAATAACTGCGAACTTGATAACGGTGTCTATCATAAATTCGTCTATAGTACTGAGTAAGATGGCAAAAAATCAGATAAGAATGACTCAAGTAAGGTAGACCGAGATGATGAAGATGAAGAGGACGATAATTTTTACCAAGAGGGAAACTATAAAAATATTTCTGGGAAAGATGATTAGCAGTAGAATGTGGGCAGATAAGCTGATATCGAACTTCTAAGTAGTAAGATGAAGGAATCCACAAGGAATGCTGGAAAGAAAAAGGATGGCAATGACGAGGAAACCAGTTTCGAAAACTCATTCGAGCAATCTCAGAGCTATAGATCAATGAAGCGCAGGATTCAGAGTGCGAAGATTGATAAAAATACGAATCAACTTAAGCATGATATTGAACGGAAAAAGCAGGAAGTTAAACAAGTTGATAATAATAACTATGCCTAGTAAACTCTAGATGGTGAAGATAACGGGACATTCTAATCAAATTACTCCTTCGTTATTGAGTAGGAGAGAGTTCAGGTAATGGTAGACTTTGGATTTCCTCGAGACTATGTACTTTCCTCTCTAACAGAGAATGAGGCCAACTACTGCAGTGCCGGTTACTATCTGCTAGGCTTAGACCAGAACTATTGATTTTCTTTTTGACAATTTAATTATTACTGTGATGAATATTATTATCTTAATTAGGCTAACATTCAAGTTAAATATTTAAACATGTTATATCAATATAATACTTTTAACTTTTTTTCTAAAGCTCATTATATTAAGTCTTGAGCTCCTTTAGACCTAATTCTCTGTTCAAATTCAGGCAATTTGGACATCATCTTAAGAGCTTAGCCAATCACAGGCTTTATCTTGTCATATCTTCCGTCTCTGGCTAAATCAACTAGCACATCTACACATTCAGGTCTCATGCCTCTGGCGTATTCATACTTACGCACATAATTCCTGATTGCACTTGATGACTCTTAGATGATTGGGAGACTGTTACCCCATTTCAGCATTTTCTCAACAATAAGATTAGCAATTCCTGGGTACTAAAGTGCCATCTTATCATAAACAATATCATCTCTTAGGCATATTCTCACAATTTTACAAGAATTGGCAATCAACTCCTAATCATCGACATACTCCAGAATCTCCAATACCTTTGAAACACCGCCCTCTATTTGGTAAAACTAAACAGCAATTAAAACTAAATTTTCTTACTCTATTTACTGCAGGCTCGGTTCTTATCGCAGAGGTTAAGCATCTGAGTGCAAATTTGATGTAGGGTCTAAGTTATGAACTTTAATGAATCGATTGTTTTGTGTCCTATGTCTTTAAAAGTTGTACAAGCATCTCCAGAACTCCGTTCTAAACTGCAAACTCGTTATTCATGTCATTAACTATAAGAGGCTCTAAAATATTCAAAAGGAATGCTATCTTAGTCTCATTTGACTGCATAACAATTGCTTGCGTGCCAGTCAGATTTTTACTGAATGACTATGATTAGCTGACTTGTCCACTCATTTTAGCCATCTCATTCTTGATATTTGAGATGATGATAAACACAGCATCAGATCCATGCTAGTTCTGAATGTAGGCATTTCTATAGGCAACATCCTGGCCAGTGTAAATATCCTTGAAGGTAGTGAGCAGTACATAAACATTTTCAGGTGAGTAGAAATTAGCATATCTTGAGAGCCATTCTAGTGCATCTATTTTACTCTCAAAGCTTTTGTTTTTGCTTCTAATTAAAGTCACTTTGTCCACCAGATGTTCATCTATGAATTTCTACACGACTTGTGTTAAATTCTTAAGATCCTGCTGAAGCGTATTCAATTTTTATTCCATCGCTCCTGAACCCACACCGTTCAATAGCTTTTACTCAAGTTATTGCTTCAACTTGTTAAGAGCATCATTTGTGGCTGTCTGGAAATTCTTCATGTTATTTTGCTCATTTGCCAGTTAAGCTCTAATTTGACCAAGAACATCTTAAAGTTTATCCTCCATTTCTTCTTTTGCTTTTTAAATTTACTATCTTATATTTTCTCTTTCTCGTTCCAAGGCATAAGTTATATCGCCTGTTCCCTTCATGTTTTTAATTTGATCAAAGACATCTGCTGAGAGCTTACGCATTTACACATAAATATCTTGCAGTTGCTTATTGTAAGATGCATTAGTCTTGCTCTGCTCCTAATAGGTATCCTCTTAGGCGTCTTTGACTTATTGTACTCCAGCTTATATCGCTGCTATCTCCTTTGCTAGCAATTGAATGGACTATCGATCTATAAGTTTCATTTTAGACAATCTACCAAATTAAAGGCAAAGAATATTATATTTATAACTTACTTTTAGCAAGATTATCAGTGATCTCGTTGATAGTAACACTTAAAGAATCTCTCTCCATCTTACCAAGATGAGTGCCTTCAGCAAACTGGCCATCATATTTCTTGTAAAATCCAAGTAAATCTTAGCCTAACTTCTGCTTCCAATCAAGCAAATCTTTATTCTTGACATCAAAATCTTCTCTCATTTTCAGAAGCTCTTTATAGAAGGTGTCCATATCTGTTTCAATCTTTCTGAAACTTTCTTCGTAAGCTTTGAAACTAAAGTGAGAAGTAGCTTCCTTCAACTCATTAATGACACCAGCTTCAAATATGCCCAGTTTTTCTATGATCATACCCTTGTTGTCCTCTATGGTTTGAGCTTATTTATCTAGCTTTCTGTTTAATGACTCTATTAAATCAATATGGTCGTTTAGTGAATCTTCCATTTTCTATACCTTTTCAGTCTACAAATGCACGGCCTGATCAAGATTATTAGCTCGGTTTGTGACATCTTTTAAGCCGATATCTAGTTCTTTCATCTGGCCTATTAAATTCGTGTTTATTGAATCCTCTATGGCCTAAGTAGTATCATCTAAGAGTTTAGAGAATTCTTTATGAGTCCTGAGCTCACTGTCATCTAACCTTTGCCTTACTTCTTCCTTGAATTTCAAGGCATCTTCTTGCATGCCGATTTTAGATGTTTTCATCATATCTTCAGTTTCGGTCCTAATAGTCCAAACTTTATCTTCGATCTCTCTTTTGACATTCGCTACACTTGAGGTAGTCTCTTACTTCACCCTAGTAACTAGCTCCTAAATCTGGGACCCCAATCTATTGATCAAGCTCTCATAGTCATATTTGAGTGTATCAAGACTCTTCTGGAACTGATCAGTATTTTGCCTCTTTGATTCGAACACTTTCTCGTCCATTATCGTGTTCATTCTCTTCTCCAGAATTACCAACTAGTCATTAAATCTCTTAAATCCACTTTCAACTTAGTTTTCAATAGTAGAAGCATTAACCTTCTGGCCAGATTCAACATGTGAAAGTTTTGTGTCAAGTCTCGTCTCAATTGAGTTAGCCATATTTTACAAGTCTTTCCTCATAATCTCAACCTTAAGTGCAAACTGTTTCTCTTTTTCACTCAAACTCAGAGTGCCTTCAGCTAAGAGTTTCAGATTGTTATCAAATTAAATCTGCTGCTCATTAATGCGATTAAGATCGTTTTAAATACCAGTCTGAAAGTTGAGGAATCTTGTATTATCATTCTAATTCTATGTCAACTGATTCTAAACTGTAGCAACCTAGTTTTTAAGATTAGCGATGTCTCTTCTAAACTCCCCTTCACTTTAGGAAGAGGCTGCTCCTATAGGAACACCAGAAGTAGCAACTTGGATACACTCTGCTTTGACCTTCTCTACCAATTTAACTATCTCCTAGAAGGCATTTGAAGTGACAGTTCTATGCTTTTCAAAATTTGAGTTTATGGTCTCGTAACCGTTAGCCAGATCCTCTATATCCGCCCAACTTCTGTATATTTCGGCCCTTCTAATCTTGTTAACCACAAATTAATCGTCTGAGAAGTCGGAGTAGTCAATATCTTTGTGATATCTTAGCAAGAAGGCACAGAAATCAAGAGCTAATTCCTAATCTTTGAAATTCTAGGACAGAACATATGATGTCATATTCATGTTCTTGATTATAACTTTATTAGGCTTGAATCTCTTAAAGACCTTTGGGTCTAACAAACATTGAAAAATCTAAAAAATATTTACCATTTTTGAGATAGTTAAAAAGAATCTAAATAGCTCTTATGCTAAGTTTGTATTCAGGATTAATACTAATGATAGAAACCAAAGAGGCTAAGAATGAATCAATCAAGTTATTAGATGCATTTGCAGGTAATTGATTTCTAGATTCTGATAACTTAAAAAATAGATCCTATAAAATGGTATAAAAAATTTGTAAAATTCAGATACTTAGAGTTCAATGGAAACAGCATCAGCTTCCAAATTCTTGGAATATAGCAAAATACAATCAATAAATGCCTAAGTGGAATCCTGATTCGCTAAATTACTTATATTAGAGTTTTTTAATGTTATAGTTGCCATTGTAAATTAATAATTTGTGTTAAATTTCAAATTTATATAATTTTAGAAATCAGCCAAAATGAGTAAAAAGTAATCAAAGGGAATTGAGGTTTACCTTAGAATCAGACCTTCCAAAAAGTCATATCCTGGACTCAGTAAGAATAAATCAAGGATTAAATTAATCTCCCAAATTATAAAACTTACCAAATATTCACTCTGAGTATAGTTCTCGATAAAGAAGGGAATGAAGTTCAATTCAACTTTCCAAAAGATGGATAAAAATCAGGAAATTAAAACGCTAAAGATGATGTCTATAATTTTGTATTCAATGGTGTGCTTGATCAAATGACTTAGCAAGAAACTGTTTTCAATACAATAGCAAAAGATGTACTAAAGCTAATATGAAATTATTAAAATTTATAGGTGATAGAATCTTGCTTTGAAGGTTACAATGGAACTATATTTGCCTATGGTCAGACTGGCTCTGGTAAGACCTATACGATTACTGGAGGAGCTGAAAGATACAATGATAGAGGTATTATTCCGAGAACAATATCTTATATCTTCAATGAAATATCAAAGAGAAATACTTCATCTTACAAGGTATGTGAGAGTTCCTATAAATTCTTTTAATCAGAGTGATTGATAATTTTTTATAGCTTAATGTAAGTTACCTGGAGATTTACAATGATTCTGGATATGATTTGCTTGACGAAAATCATGCTACAAAGAGTTTGTTTGATTTACCCAAGGTCAAGATCTATGAATTAAGTGAAGATCAATATGTTTTGAAAAATCTCTCAGTTCACAGAGCAGAGAATGAAGAAGATGCTTTAAACTTATTGTTCATTGGAGATACTAACAGAGTGGTTTCAGAAACTCCCAAAAATGATGCTTCTACAAGATCTCACTGTATCTTTATGATTTAGCTTGAATGCCAGAAGAATGGAGAGGATGTTAAGACTGTGAGTAAATTGCATTTGGTCGATCTGTCTGGTTCTGAGCGACCAAGTTAGACTGGCATTGATGGTAAAACTCTTGAAGAAGCTAAGAACATTAATTTGTCTCTACATTATCTTGCTTAGGTCATTGAGTGTTTGAATGAGAAAGCAAGAGGAAATCATGTGACTCATATACCCTATAGAAATTCAATGATGACATAAATCTTAAGAGATTCACTTGGAGGTAACTGTAAAACAAAGATGATAGCGACGATGAGTGCAGAAAAAGAAGATATTTATGAAAGTTTAAGTACTTGTTGATTCGCTAAGAGAGTAGCAAAGATTCAAAACTTAGTCAGTAGGAATGAGCAAGTAGATCCAGGAGTTATCATATCCAGACTTAAAAAGGAGGTGTAGGAGCTTAAAGCCGAAATTGCTCTGCTCAAAGGAGAAGATGTAAAGGAAAATCTGACCTCTGAAGATATTGAGAGGTGCAATAAAATGGTTTAGGAGTTTATAGATTCCTCAGATCCATCATCTACTATAGTGCTAGCTGATAGATTAATGATCAATTAGTGCTTCTATCACTTTAAGCATATATTTAGAGATATGTAAAAGAAAAAAGGTGGAGCTGGGCCTGCTGGCTTCAGCTCAGCACCTGAAAAGACCAGCGGTGGGGGACCAGTTAAAGACGATAGCATGGAAGTGAAGAAGTCACAGGAGGAGATATAAAGGCTATAAATTCTCGTACAGTAAAGAGATAATGAAATAGGAATCTTGCTTAATTATCTTAATAAGAAAAAGGGAGATGAAACTATCCCTGGAATTGGAGTTTAGCGATAAGAGGAGAGTAAGGGAGGTTAGACACTATTCTAAATGATGCAAAATTCTAATCAAGACTCAAATAAAAAAAATTTAGAAGTTGTTTAGGGAGGAGTGAATGACAACCCAATTTAAAAGAGACAAAACTAATAAGACAGGGAAATGTATGAAGTTTAGCAAATGACAAATGGTCATATTCATTTGACTAATGAAGACTTGGCTGATCGAAGTAAGGCATTTGATCTGTTCAGAAGATCTTATCGTAAGAATGAGGCAATGGATGAAAATCGAGAATTATTAAAGCAAAAATATTCCAGGGGTAAGGAGCTTGGAAACATGGTAAATGAGAGTAGAGATCAGATTAAGGTTTTAACTAATAAGATTGAGCAAATAAGAAAGGAAAATGCAATGAGAGGTTAGGTTGATTCAAATGGTGAAATCATTTAAACTCCTGAGGAACTCAATATGCAATAAAAGATTAGTATACTTAAGAAGAGTTATTAAGACTAGTATTAAGAGTTGAAAGAACTTAAGAGTGAAATTGAAAGAATAACCAACCTCTTAGAGAGATCAAGACAGCAAATGCAAAATGATTTTGAAAAGTGGCTTAGCGTTATGTTAAAGCAGAACCAAATGGCTAATACCAGTTCAATTAATTCAGGGGGTATAAATTCAACATTAAATACATCTACTGGTGGAGGTTTTAATCCAGCATCAACTGATAAGAAAGTAAATGAAAACCTTGAGGCTTTTTATAGAGCAAGAAATGAAATCTATAAATGATTCAATTTAAGATTTATCATTAATCATTTTTTTGAATTCTCGACTGCTGGGGTTTTGGGGTTTTGGGG